ACAGCCTTTAATTTACCTACATCGTTTTCTTGATTATAACAAGATATCTCCAACGTTTCTAAAACGATTTTGATTTTAAATTGATTTGATAGGTTTTGCTCACAATTTCTTATATTTTTTTTATATAACTTAGAATGGCAAACAAGTTGACGGCCCATCTGATGGAAAGTGGTAACTGTCGCCTATAGACATTAGCAGTACCATGGACATAACAGAGTATACTGTTACGCCCATGAGACCCCCATGCGTTACCATCCCTGACGACTCAGGTGTTATTTCTCTGTACCCAGCAAATTCACGCCTTATCCCACCCTTCAAACCGAAACACAGTCATGCAAACACAGCTGCTTCACGGTTGAAACACGAATGGGACAGAGGAACCCAAGCAATCGACTTTTGTACAAAGTCTCCCTCTGGTCGATGTAGATAATTACATCTAGGTGGTTTATCAAGTTAAAACATAAATCAGATTTTAAGTTAAGCCTTTTGAAATAAAGGTGCGGAAATCGTTTTTTATTTGTTATCTGCGTGAAGTTGGCACAAACATACAAACACACGCGACAGAGAAATAGATAAAATTTTACAGGTATTTTTTTTAATGGGTGATAATGGTATGGTTACCCCATCTGCGCTATCGGTACACACTGGCGGGGCGCCAGTTATAGATGACTGATGAGGATGAAAGCAGGTCAAGTTGGGCTACATTTTGACGAATTCAACTAGAATTAGCCACGATGGTTTCCAGTGGGAACCGCGAGGAGGTCGATCTGACAGGGTGTATTGCTATCAATGGAGTTACTAATCCCCATTTTTAACACTCCATTATCCCACCTATCTTCAGGTATATTAGTCCTATCGTACTCTGAACTGATTTCTCAAATAAACTTTTATCTACTTTCTTTAGACACGGAAAGAGAGGAATTAATAGCTAATATTGATTTTTGCATATGTATGATTTGCAGATTTGGTTAAGCAGACGTCTATTGCACAAAATTCCATCTGATAAATCTGGTGATTCATAGTTTACATACTCGTAGAATATATTGCATAACAATTCTTCAGTGGAGCAGCAAAGGCATGCATTGTTATGTTTCAATCTGAAGGGATCTGTGTAATATACATATGTAGTATAAGTTTCTCATATGTGGAAACTACACATAATAATACTTGTACATATGTGTACAAAACTTTGGTTGCTCAGCGGGTCTACCATGAAATGAAATTCCGAAATTTCAGACTCAATTTCGTATTCTCGCTTATACCAAAATCGGACCAATAAATGGAGTTGAACATTTCGTTCGTCATACATCCTATCATAAAAGTCCAAAGGAACAATATTTTTGAACATTTTTAAAATATTACCAAACGGCATGTATTATGTAATTTTAACATCAAATTTGTGTTTCGTTTGGCTCCGATATTTCGGAAAACACTTCATGGTAGGCCCTCAGTTCCCAAGCAACGGAGCTTCATTAAAATTTCGTATCACGGGAAACTTCTGGTGTTCTGGACAGAGGACCAAATGTACTATACATGGGGCAAGTTCAAAAGAGTAATTTCGTGAATGTTTCACTTGATGGCATTAATAAAGGATGCCATAAAGGACCTCCATGTTGTAATCGTGTAAGAATACAACGTATCCCTTCTCACCCCAAGGATGTCGTTAGAGGCGACTAAGGGAACAAAGGATTATATACCTACAAGTGCAAGATAAGGAAAAGTCGAAAGAAAACCCTAATTTGCAGAGTCCTGTCCCCAGTAGTGGGACATTAATAGGTTGTTATGGTATTCTTAATAAATGAAATAATAGAAACTCGAAAAAATCTATTGTATATATTCAAGTTACTAAAGTAGTTTATTTAAAAATGTGTAAGACTTTTAAAACATCTGTTATTCGTCTTTAACCTTGTATATAATAACTAAGATCTGCACTGTTTTATAAATATTCATTCAGGAACATAATGACTTCATCATCATTATCTCAGCTATTATTTGTTCACTGCCGAACATAGGTCTTCTCCCATAGACTGCCATAAATAACGGTCCTGAGCCACCTGCATCCACAGTCTCCCTGCAATTACGATGTAAACTATGATGCAAAATTGATTTTTTTTACAACACATGGGGCAAACAAGAATGCAGTTTACCTGAGGCGCAGGTGAGATTGCAGGTGTACTGCTGGCGTTTTAAAAAGGAATATGAAGGTTATGATGTCGTATCGGTTCGAAAATACTGCTGCTGGAAATTGATCCCAAAGAGTGGTTGTATGTGGAAGAAAGTGCCTTGAAAAACGCACGGTGAAAGACCGCCACTCGTCCAGATGGTTGGGATGAAACTTTAGTTTATGGCGAGTTGTACGGTGGTGAAAATCAGTAGCAGGTATCAATCCGAACAATTTCTCAGAGTATTCCCCATAATAAATTCGGTAGAAGATTTTTTTTTATACAGTTTAGAATGGCAAACAAAACGACGGCCCACCTGATGGAAACTGGTAACCGTCGCTTATAGACATGAACATAACAGAGTATACTGTTTCGCCCATGATACCCCCCATGCACAGAGATGCTACATTTCTACGCAGTTTCATTGGGTCAAGTCGGAGAGTAGGGTGCTAATCATCAATGATTCGAACCGCCCGACTCTGAATGCGGTTTAACGGATGGAGGTGGTAACAGTATTCCAATGTGGCCTGACTAGAGCTTTAAACAATTTCAATTTATTATATTTTTGAAGTAGTAATTTACAAGGATATAAGCGGACGACACTTAAAATACCGTTACTATAGTAACGGGCATTTGAAACACTCCTGACAGATTTTCAGATACCCAATTTTTATTTGCTTCTATTACTTTGTTTATTTTTACTTTTCTTGAAATGAAGAAGAAATATTGCTTTACCTGTTTACTTTTCTAGTAGAATAATTTCACAATATTGTTGAGCGAAGTAGGTCTATATTTGATTTTATCGCGGGAATCGAATATTTAAAGGATTCGGGCAGTCGGAATAAAAACTTGATTTTAAAATTTTTTTGCGTTTTGAATAACAGGATAACAGATTCTGTAAAGATTTTAAATTTATTGTTTATTTAAACTTCAATACACAATTATATAATATAAGAAAGTATATATAATATAAGAAAGTAAAGGTTGTTTGAAAGAGATTGCTTAGCAATAAGACCGCCTTTTATACTACACTATGGGTATTGAAAATTGTTCAACAAATCCTGTTATGTTGGTGCAATAGTGTTAAATAAATAAATAAATACATACGATGGACTTAATACCTAATGACGTTCTTTACCAGTCAACCATGAGGCAAGCAGAAAATTAAATAGGCGGTAAATATAAAGTGTTCTATTAATTCACCTAAAGATGCTTCGTTTATAGGTGAAACACGTATCGCAATGTATGCTTGGACCGAATAATGGTCGGAGATTGATGACTAATATGGAAGGTCATCGTAGTCGAGTCTCAAATATTGGCAGTCGTACGCATACCGATGGTAGTGGAAATAAAACTGTGGACTAATCAATAGAATAGAATAGAATACAATAGAAATAATATTTATTCAAACGGACTTGTTTACATGCTTTTTTAAGCATCAATTTTTTATAATCCTACTTCTGGGTTCGAAACCTTGTTATCTGCTGAGAAGAACCCGTAAGAAACTTAATTAGATACACTTTTCAATTTGTTAAATATAAGATAATTTTACATTTGCATAGGTATTGTAAATATACTTAGAATTGAGTTCTATTTATACGTATTATTATTAAATGAAAAATAAACAAGCGAACATGAGCAAATCAGCCTCCACAAATAGTACCCATTCACAAGTATGGCAGAAGACCAGCCATAATATATTTTGGGGAACTCTACAACCCGACCCGGATTTTGGTCAATACAATTTGTTTAAGAAACTCACATCCCTATAAGTATCATAATATCCTCCAATCGCTTAATATTCTACCGATTCGCCTTTTTTTATACATCTTAGAATGGCAATCAAGCTGACGGTCCACCTGATGGAAAATGGTAACCATCGCCTATAGACATGAGCAGTACCATAGACATAACAGAGTATACTGTTTCGCCCATGATACTTCCCATGCGTTGCCATTCCTGAGGACTCAGGTGTTATTCCTCTGTACCCAGTAAATTCACGCCATATCCCACCCTTCAAACCGAAATACAGCCATACAAACACAGCTGCTTCACGGTTGAAACATGAATGGGACAGAGGTACCCAAGCAATCGACTTTTGTACAAAGTCTCCCTCTGGTACCTATCATACACTGGTAAAAGTCACCTGACATTAGAAAAACAGACAAATGGTCGGCCTCAGTCCAACGTCTACTGAGTAACACTCTGCAACGGGTTGATGTTTTGTGCCTACTTACCGTGTGGAGAACTCGTGAACCTCCTGGATATTCCTTATTATCGTTCCCAAGTGTCGCGAGTGATTGTTTACAAAATAGATCAACGCCATTGTGACATTCACGTGGCGTGGCTTCCTGAATCCTGGTGCAGCCTAAGCGTGTACTGCTAACGCTACATCTGCGGCCAAGGTGAGTCCGTACCATTTTGACATACAAATTTCTTTTATTGTACCTAGAACCCGGGCCCAGCCTAGGTTTCATATTAGATAGATAGATAGATAATTTTATTTGCATTACTTACAGCACACAAATTACAACATACATACACAAAAAAAGCGAGATAACATAAATGAAAAAAAAAAAATACACAAAACCAAATGCAACTTTCGTTTGTGAGTGTGCCATAGCAATACAAAATGGCCACAACTCAGTTTATTGCTTCGCCCTCAAAAGAGCAAAGCACTGATATTCTGTTGCGGCCAACATTACTTTCGCTTCCACTTGTGCTAACAAGTTACAATTTAAATTAGCCACTTTCCTTAACACAATTATTTAAATAATGAAATTAATAAAATACATAGTTTATTTAATAAAATTTTTATTAATAAGTAGATTATACAATTTCGATTCTATATTTACAATTTTAGTGCTACAATCAAAAAATATTCACAAACCAATACTCATATTTTTTATACCGAAAAGCTTAGCTCCGCTAGATGAAGCGACGACCTCGAATGCATTGGTGGGAGTGAATGCTGATAGCTTACGACCATTCCTTATGTCTGTAGTGTATATCAATTTTAATAGTGGATAAATTAATGATTACATTCATGATAACAATGACTTATTAACAAATGGTTTTATGGGCGGTGGGGGGGGGGGGAGAAATAATAACTTCTATTATTAAATGGAGATTTAAAAGTCTCATTATAACCTTATCAGGTCGACGTGGTACACCATGTAAACTATCATGGTTAATTCTTGTTAAATTCGTCACAGTGGGTCAACTGGCCTGCGTTCATCCTCACCTATCATCTCTCACTGGTTCCCCACCACTGTATACCAATAGCGTAGACGAGGTTACAGTTCCATCTTTACTCATCAAACCAAAAATTGTTTTTAATTTGGAAAATTCTCTGCAATTCATAATACTCGTAGTAATACAAGAAACTGTATACACACACACATTCTTGTATCATTACTTATAATTACAACGAATACTAATGTGTGTGAATATTTGTCATTCATAATTTAAAGAAATTAATTCGAATTACGAATTACTGTTTTACCGACTTATTACACAGTATAAAGTAAATAGTTTTAACTATTGTTTATATTTATTTAAACTTTAATAATAATTATATCAGCCGTTAACTGTCCACTGCTGGACATAGACCTCTCTAATATAGGGGATTCTGCCAATAGTTGCCACGCTTGGAAGGTGGATTGGCAACCGCAGTTAGGCCTTTTGTGATGTATTATGAGGGAGGCTGCTGCCCATTTTTCAACCATTAAGTTTCCTTAGTCGCCTCTTACGACACCCATGTGAAAGGAAGGGGTGGCCCTTTCTTTGCCGGGACCACACAACGAAATACTTAAATGTAATTATATTAATAATATAAAATGAAAAAATATTTTTTGTTCAATTATCTTATAAAAATATGGATGAATTAATTAATTACATTAACTTATATAAAATAATTATTTTTATTAATAAATGTAAAAAAAATTACAACAAGGTTAAAACTGAACTTAATCAATAGTTTATTTTTGAACTTGTTTATTGCGATAACTTATTATAATATAATTGATTATTTAAAAGCTTTTATTACTGCATATATAATATATATAAACCCAGTTATTATGTTTTAAATAATTTGTCAAATATTTTACAATTTTATTGATTTTTAAATGACGATACTTGTGACGTTTGAATTTAATTATTATATCGTATCAAATTTAATTAATTCTTAAAATATTATATTTTCATTTTGATTTTATCTTTCTATTCTTTATTACGATGTGGTTGAAATTTATTAATTATCTGTCACATTCTAATATATTTTTTTGACTAAAATGCCATATTTAAGATTTCTTATCAACAAAGTGATTTTAATTCTCAACTTTTTTTTCATTTGAATTCATATGCACTTAATGTGTTTAATACTGGACCAAAATAAACCATGGATCTACGTCGCATAATAATTAAGAGAAAGCACCTAGAGTATAAGGAATAACCAGTTGCCCAATGGCTTTGGCATGCCCGAAAAGATTACATGACCGTTCGGGATGCATCGCTCAATGTCCCAACAGGTATAGACAATATATGTATCTGGACGATTCGAGGTAAGAAATTTTTAGACTGTGGTAGAAGAGGCCACTTATAAATAGAAGATTTATAATAGTATGTATAAGTGGGCTGTTGTATACAATGGATTTACAGACAATGGGATATTTAACAGTATTGTAATAGGTATTCAATTGGGTAATGTAACTAAAGATACTACATACACGAGTAATCTTCTAAAAGCTGATGGAAAGTTCTAAGAAGAGGAAACTATTTCAGCTCGATAAGTAAAAGCTGAAAGTTCTTAGTAGTATTTGGGTGTAACTTGGAAATCCAACGCTGATTCTGGTATGTTTAATTTATATTCAAGTAAGGCAATACATAATACATTGCCATGTAGTCCCGGCATAAATTAGGCCACCCCTTCCTTTACCGTGGGTGTAGTAAGCGGCGACTAAGGAGGGCGAGGGATGGGCAGGAACGTTCCTCTTAAAATATCTCTAAAACCTAACTGCGTTTGCCAATCCGCTTGCCACGCTTGGCAACTACTGGCAAACCCCCCAAGGGAAGTTGATGCTCAGCAGTAGACAGTTGAAAACTGATATGATAATAAATACAATACATGGATTAAAAATAATAATTTAAAATCATATCATTTGACTGTTTCCCAAAAGACGACACCCGTGTCACTGATCATACATTTGGAGCAGTATGATCAATGATACTGGTCATGAAACATCTGGTGTTAGAACATAAAAACAAGTACACTCAAATTTCCCGCGTCCTCCCTATCCATTCAACCTGTCAACGAACGCGACCAATCAGAGCTGCCCAAAATGACAACATTCGAGAAAAAACAAATATCATCGATGGCGGCCGTTTCGCGCGTTCACAATAAAATAATCATAATTAAGGTGCTTCAGTTTGGTATTCATACAAATTTGTGGCTAAAAGTGAACCTAGGACGATCGACAACCCGTACAATTGTGGGCAGATCCAGGCAGACTACAACAAGAATATTCCGTAAGTCCTTACCTTTCTACATCTTGTCTGTACTTGTTCACTTGTACCGGTATTTTACAGCAGTAATAAAGCCCTATTTTAAGTTTCTACAGTCCACTTAAATCAATTTTCATACCATCTGGAGATACATAAATAAAAAGCATAAGATGTAGAAATCCTCAGTTTTCTTCGTGTAATACGTAAAATTAAAGATATAGTAACTTAGTTCTCTGGAATACCAACACATGAAGGATACCATGGATGACAGATTTTTCTGAGGTTTTTCATACTGCAACACATCAGACTACATTGAATGCTAGAATGTACTCTGTGATATCTATAGAATTGTTCAAATTGTTTTAAGTAACGTTTACTAATTTCAAATAGCTTGTTGATATTCTAATTTATATAAAAATACCTACAACATTGCTCATTAATAAAATTAATAAAGATTTTGAGCATTTATTCAGAATGAAACTCATTTTTTTCTCTTTTAGATATGTAGTCGTACATTAACAACAATTTCAACAAGTTGGATGTTAGCCAAATGTTTCTAAAATATACTATTGATATATTGCTCCCTTATTTTACGCGTAGGCAATATTACTACGAGTATTTTGTTTGCTTCCATGAACTAGTTTTCTGTACTCAAATTGCTATTACAATCACAATGTTTGTTTGGAAAATTACCCTCTTTATTTGGAAAATTACCCTCCTTAATAAATAATGTCATTAAATATCTTACATTAGTGTTCTCATTTGAATTCTAGATTAATATTAATTTAATCCTTTTTAATCAAGCTTCTGTGAATTTTAATAACATAAATCAGTGTTTAACAATCACACCCATCACTTAGTTTAAAGTATAATGTGATAATAAACATACGGAGAGATCAATACACAATTTATAACATACATAATTATAATAGTTATAGTCACGACCTAAGAATTAGTTAAACAAATAAACTGTGGATTCTGACAACCTGGCCAAAATATGGAGTTCTTCAAAAAGAGTGCATTTAGGTTTCTTTCGGGTCGGCAACGTGACATCCCTAGCAACATAGGCGTCTATCGGTTACAGTGACTGTTGACCAACAGACGGACTGTATCCTTGTTTGCCACCTTAGTGGTATAAAAAAAAATTGACTGACGTATAGCACAAAATCATCTTACCCTTATCTCAATAATTTGGGGTCGGCGTAATATGATTTTGTCCATATTACAAAAAGACTTGGTTTTTAGTTTTACGACCGGCCACCTGCCTAACGTCAACCCTCTTTGGGAACGTATAGCGCAAAATAATTAAATTAAAAAATTCGGAAAGAGATATTTAATACAGGGTCTACATTTGATTCAATTGAATCAGGATCAAAAATACCACAGGATAACCAAAATCAAGGCCAATATAAAATAATTTATAGCACGGAAGGAGGCATTTCAGTCTTTTGAGTTGCTTTTGACCATAACAAAACTCTCAGGTTTTATAAAAGCTTATAAGGCGCCTCCAAGAACATCCATTAAGCAAACCGTTTTTACACTGTGCATTTATAATTGTTGGCTCATACACATTTCACACAACATTACCTTATAAATTAATTGACTGTTCCCATAAATTATTTAATAATTAATACAGTATACTGCTTAATAATAACGTTGACACTAAATACAAATTAGACAATAGTTTGAAACTTGAGTTCTTCCAATAGCTTTCATCTTTTGATGAAAGCATTAACGAATCTTCACTGTTCTGCGCCAGTTTATTTGCACAACTTAATGATTCTACAGGTATATTGACTACCGTTAACTGACTCTCAAATGGTTGCACAGTCGTTTCAATTTTGTGTAATCTATTTACTCCTTCGTCTTCATTAATCTCCTGATTTAAAACATCACTATTCGATATGATTTCCAATAAACCATCAGTTTTTGTATTATCATTAAAATCGACAGCTTTAGTCGGTCTTGTAAATTTATCACCAGCATCGATCATGCAAGTGACATCATCTAACGCTGATTTTAGTGGTTCACTTGTTGTTTCATTTCGAAGCACTTGAATCCATATTAGGCGACAATCGCACCTGAGCTTGTTACCTGAAAAGGAAAAAATACTTTTAAGTTTCGTAACTCTTCAACAAAAATAAATCTGTGAATACTAAAGGAAATTTAATGATTCAATTTTCTGAATGCCTACTATCATAACTTTATCCATAATTCATTTCTTAAGAGTTCTCCCAAGCTCATTGAATTTTGTATAAATTTCCTTTATTTATTATTTTGGATGTTTATTGTAACAAGCTTTTCCTACAAATTTGATATAAATCTCTCATCATTAGTAACGAATCCGTAGGCAATTACAAACTGATATGTTAAATAAGCTACTACACTGAGTAAATATTAGGTCTTAATTTAAAAACTATTTAGTGTTATGAGCATTTATTATGCACTAGCTGTATCCTGCGGCTCCGTCCGCTTGATATAGTATATAAAGTATCCCATATGCCAAATTAGGATATAACCATCCAGATGAGCAATGATCGTGCGTTTTTCAATATAGTTTCTTCTACGCTCAACCTCGCTTTAAAATCAATTTGCAGCGGCAGTATTTCTGAACCGATACGATATCGTAGGAAAAAAGAAAAAGAGCATATTTCTATTTAAAAGGCAAGTAGCACAAATAAAATTCGTCCGGTGGTATTGGTGGCCATGAGTGGCGATAGTTATTTACCATCAGGCGAAACGTTTGCTACTGTGGTATAATAATGAGCTCAATGCACGTTTTCGTATACAAATAATATTTGAGATGGAAAAGGACAATTACTTTGTATGAACTTAAACTAGAAATTTTTGAACATCTCTGTAAATTATTGATGCCCATTAATTCTTCTCTTTCCGCGTCTAGGGAAATTAGATAAAGTTTTGTTTGAGAAATCAGTTCAGGGTACGATAGGACTGATATACCTGAAGAAGGTAAAAGCCCTTAAAATAATATAAAAAAAAAAAAAAAAAACTTTTTCAATGAATACATCCCGGCAACGTAGATAAAATAGCGCGTAAAGACTAATGTATATTACATTAGTCAGTATGAAGTCGTAACTAAAGTTTTGTAATATTATAATATTAGCTGTGTTGGAAACATTGGTAATCATTTAGTAATTTAGCTTTACATTTAGGAGTTAATAGTTTAGGAGTAACAACTTCCAACGAACGATTAAATATATGTTTGAACACAGTGGAAGTGAATTTAGAGTTTTTGTAGTATTCGAAAGCTACTTGTAAATAAAATTATATAGATTTTGTGACGCTTGTACGTCTTTATAAATTCGACTAATGTTATAAATGTACTATATAGATAGATAAGCTCATGTTTATAGGCGACGGTTATCACTTTCCATCAGGTGGGCCGTTAGCTTGTTTGCCATTCTAAGTTGTATAAAAAAAATATTATAAAAATATAAAATTACGTATTTAATCTTATTAATACTCATATATCAAATAATATCAATAATTACATTTGTGTCTGTTGTTGCCATAATGGGTAAAACGTGATTTTTGGCAACACATTTTTCATTCAGAATCGAATTACAAGCTCATTGTTGACTCACCAAGGGTGCATGCTACTCTCATTAATTGTCCTTAATACGCGAGGGTGCTTGATAGGGGATTAGAACGAACTAGGGTCTGTTGGCTTTGTTTGCACAAAATATATAATAGTTATTTACCTTCCCATGGGCACTGTGAATATAGAGTAGTGTTACTTACGAGTATTATTAAATAACATGTCTATTTGACTTAATAGAGACCGGTGTATTTATGTCATGTTTACAATAGTTAAGCGCTTTTATTGTTTGATTTTGTTACTGTAATAACAGTAAGCGTGTTTCAATGGCATTTAATTAAAGTGTTAACAAATAAATTGACTCGGAATATAATAGGGACTGATGATGTCCAATAGTAGTAGGTCGGGGGGAAAGGGGTTGTTAGTAATGGGGTCTAACTGACCCGTTGTGGGAGGAAAGGGATTGTTAGTAATGGAGACTGAGAATCCTATTAGCAATATACTCAACCAGGTAGACCTCCTCGTGGTTCTCCCTGGAAACTATCATGGTTAATTCCTGATGAATTCATCATGATGGGCTAACTGGCCTGTTTTCATTCTCATCTATCACCCTTCACTGGTGCTCCGCCAGCGTATCCCGTTAGCGTTCTTTCGAGGTTTAGTTTTTAAATGAAAATAATTGATTTTGTCGCAATTGAAGTCGGTTTTTTTTAAACGCAATCTTAAATTATTATTAATATTGAAAGACGGGCTTTCTCAGGCAGAAAATTCTGTGACACTGCGATCTTACCAGAGGGAGGCTTTGTACAAAAGTCGTTTGCTTGGGCATCTCTGTTCCATTCGTGGTTCAACCGTGAAGCAGTTGTGTTTGCATGGCTGTGTTTCGGTTTGAAGGGTGGGATATGGCGTGAATTTACAGGGTACAGAGGAATAACACCTGAGTCCTCAGGAATAGCAACGCAAGGGGGTATCATAGGCGAAACAGTATACTCTGTTATGTCCATGGTACTGCTCATGTCTACAGGCGACGCTTACCACTTTCCATCAGATGGGCCATCAGCTTGTTTGCCATTCTAAGTTGTATAAAAAAAAAGGATAAGATGTATAGTGTTTGAACAGTGGTAAACAGGCTAATGTACAGTCAAGTGTGGCAACTACTGCCTCCTCAATGGTAAACTGCCATAAGGAACGACCCCATCCCTCATGGCAATCTATGGTGCAAGCCTAAGTTAAGCAGCGGTCAGTTAACGGTTGATATCATGACGTTGATTTCATTACTTAATTTGTCAATTTGCATTGACTTGCGATAATTAAAACAAATTGAAACAAAAAATGCACGAAGGTGACATTTACAAATTGTCTATAAAACGGCTAAATGAAATAACCTAGGTAAATTAAGTGGAGCACGGTAGGACTTTATTGCACTCAACGACGTAACGATGTTGCCACGTGCAATGTAGACATGAGGCAAATATTGTTACATTATTACACTATTCTACTGCTATTAGAAATCGCCAAAGGGAGATTTTGTACAAAAGTCGTTTGCTTGGGTACCTCTGTCCCATTCGTGTTTCATCCGTAAAGCAGTTGTGTTTGAATGACTGTGTTTCGGATTTGAAAGGTGGGATATGGCGTGAATTTGCAGGGTATTACAGGCGATAGAGGTACCCAAGCAATCGACTTATGTACAAAGTCTCCCTCTGGTTAGTTTATCCATTACGTACAAAAGAAACAAAAAATCAAATCATTTCTCTTTATAACATTAGTATAGATACAAAAAAAAAAGAAATTTTGTATTTCGTTTAAAGTCGAATTTCTCACTACAGTTTTTATTCAGAATTATCTATAACAACTACGCAGTAACTTGAACTCTTGAACTAATTGCCCTAAGCTGGTTAAAATGATTTTCTTTAACTTCCTAACATTTACTGGCATTCAGTTTTTCATTTATAAAAAAGCAATCTGAAGAGCTTAATTAAAGAATATCTAATGCAGATATCTTAAGTTTGTATATAATAATTTGAAGACCATGTTAGTTAATGAAAAACTAGAAATGGAACTATATTCGTTACAATTTAAAAATGATTATTATTGATAATTAACTTTATATAGGTTTCTAGAATTACACACTAATCAGTAGCTGCATCAATATTTCCAATAGTTCTTATAAAATCTTAAGTTTGTATATATATATATATATATATATATATATATATATATATATATATATATATATATATATATATATATATATATATAGCATATACAAATTTTTCGGTAGGCAAAGGAAATATTAACTGAAAGAAGAAAATGTAATAATTTACTTACCACTTAGGTAAAGAACGGACGTCTTCAATTTCAAGTTGTCCATTATTGGCTTAATGGTATCATAGGTAAATGTTACTATTTCATTGTTCCTCAAATCCAATAACTCAAGCCCCCTTACACCTTCCAAAAGCCCCTCATTAATGGCCGTCAATTTATTTCCAGTCATCGACAATTTCTGTAGTAGAACGAGCCCGTCAAATGCCCTTTCCGATAGATATTTCAATTCATTATTGTCTAAAAGGAGCTCATTTAAATTCCACAATTCTGTGAAAGTCAAATCTCCTATCGCTGACAACTTATTGGACCTCAGATCTAATCTAGTCAAATTAGCTAATCCTCTAAAAACATCTTTAGTGAGTACGCTAATTAAATTTGATTCTAATGTCAAATCGTTGAGTGTAGTTAGATGTTCAAAACAACCGTCGTAAACCAAATTGATATTGTTAAAAGATAAATCGAGGTTTTTAAGTGAAGGCAAATCAACGAAAACGTCTCTCTGTATTTCAGTTATCTTGTTCTCCTTTATCGTTAAGTTAACAAGCAACGGCAGATTTACAAATGATGAGAAATCCAACTCTGTTATTTTGTCGTTCATTAAAATTATCTCTCTCACTGTTGTCATATTGTGAAAAACTTTTTTCTCGATTTTGTTAAATGTCGCGTAGTGGATGGAGAGCTTCTGTAACCTCTTCAAATGGTGAATCACTTGCAATGGAATAAATTTCAGAGCTCCATCAGATCGTACGTTAAAGGCTAATCTTTCCAAGAACGGTTGTGAATTAAAACTAGACCATATGGGGTCAGATTCTTCAATGCCTCCATTAAATACCCAGCAGTCTGCTCTTCTTGCAGTTTTAATTTCAGTACTCTCACAGTAGCAGTGTACTTTCGATGCCCTATCAGTTATTTCACATATATTGTCTTTATTTTTACCAGCATGATATCTCCTTTCAGATTTATCTCGACGCTGTGTAAGTTTACTTTCCGTGTAAGATATTTGTACCGAAGTTAGAACTAGAGCTAAGAGTAAATATTGGACGACGGACTCCATAGTTTTCCGGTAATCTGTAACAAGCAAAACAAACAATTAAAAAGAGATTACTTTCAATACGTATTCCAGTAAACATTGGTCTTAAAATTCTTTGTTTTCTTTTTGTGATGATTAAAGCTCCTGTTTATGTCTGCGAAGTAAAAAACTGCTTATTGTGATAAAATACACTTGTAGAATTGCGATTTCGGATTTTAAATTCAAATGTTTGCAAGGTTTCGAAATGAATCTTTTTACATTTTTAATTTACATTTTTTTATGCAACTTAGAATTGCCTTTATGTCGCCTATAGACATGAGCAGTACCTACTGTTGTAGTAGTATACTGTTTCACCCATGATACACCCCATGCGTTGCCATTCCTAAAGACTCAGGTACTATTCCTCTGTACCCTTGTAAATTCACTGCCATATCTCACCCTTCAAATGGAAACACAACCATGCGAATACAACTACTTCACGATAGAAGATGAGGTTATATAGAAAGACGTTATGCTATGTACAGAGGAATAACACCAGAGTCCTCAGGAATGGCAACGCATGGGGGTATCATGGGCGAAACAGTATACTTTATTATGTCCATGGTACTGCTCATGTCTACAGGCGACGGTTACCACATTCCATCAGGTGGGCCGTCAGCTTGTTTGCCATTCTAAGTTGTATAAAAAAAAAACTTTAATTTGCACACGCATTACTTTTTACCAGTGACTACGTCTGCATGATCAGGATATGTTCATTGAACGGGATAAAATGTCCTCCTCCATCGCATATAGTAAGTGTAAACCAGATTTCATAATGATTGGTTAAGGTGTTAACGCACTAACAGGTGACAAAGAACATCTCTTTCACATTTATAATATTATATATGTAAGGACTGTTAAGGTAATATAAATATTTGATGGACACTTCATTTTGCTACGAATTGAACGAAATAATAATTATTATGGCAATATCCATTTAAGTAGGTCAGCGAGGCAGTGTACGAGCGTACATATTTTACAATTTTTACCCTCCATTTGCTGTATTAAAATGGAAATTAATTGCCCTGTAGTGTACGCGTGGTTATTAAAACAATGAAGTGTTTGGTGTGGCCAAAAGTGTTTCATAAATTTTCATATTTTATATCCGTACTATCATTAGTTCTCAATTAGATAGGTAATAAATTGGCATAACTTTTTGGAACTTACAACACTATGAATCTTATCAATTTTAAAAATGAGAATGCTGACATTGACGCTCCTTTCCACTTTGGGTGTTGCTGGAAGAAAACTCTAATAGAGTTAAGCTCGCCTTTGTACATTTGATTACCTCTGTCATATTCTTAGAACTGGTATGTACAATAAAGAATTAAATAAAAATAAATGAATTAATGAATTTTTATTTACTAAATATTCATTAAAATTTCAGGAATCGTTACCATTACATAGCTGTGTGTGTAATGGTATATATTGTTGCATTACATAGTGTGTGTGTGTTTTTTTACAATTATTAAAATAATAGGCAGTCATAATAAAATTAATTACTTTAAATTACAATTACGATAATGAGTTATGCTATGTTTTTACAGTGTCAAGCAGTATCATAAATTACAATTATTTAAAAATTCTTTTACATAATAGAAGCAATTATTAATTAGGTAGTCAAATACTTTTCTTTTAAAATGTGTGTTGGTCAAACTTTTAATAATATTAGACAATTTATTATATATTTTAATAGCCATACAGGCTTAAATAATAAATTGTAATAATTATAATAAATTTTATTATAAAAAAAATTACCTTTAACTTTTTTACCATTAACCTTTATTTATTTAGAAAATAATCTAAAAATTAATTTACACAGAAAAATAAATGTTGAAATCTTCGAAAGAGATTTAATATAAACAAGCAAAGGGCATTTTATTTATAGTTTATTCAAAACGGCCACATTAAAAATAGGGTCCTAAATATTAATAAAACCGTTTTAATTTGTACATTTCCATAACGGGCATTATCACTTAATATAGAATAGTAATGTCTCGTGACTTCAGTCCGTTTGTGGCGTTTTGTGTGACCGAGCGACTTATCAAAATCGTAATGATTATTTTTTTGTGTATTACAATTTAAGGGCGTTCATAACATTTGTCTATCGAAGTGTGGCAACGTCGCAATTAATTGTCAATTTTTAAAAACAATTCCACAATTTTACTTAATAAAGTTCTTAAAAGTACTTTATTAGTGTACTTTTTAAATAATCGATCTACTAAGATCTTTATTATAGAACATATTGTATATAAATCTACCAAAATGGGGATGGTAAAGAGGTTTCTTCAGGGTGAGCAATGCGCGTGTAATTAGTATTGCAGGATTGCATACGCCCCTGGTATTGCAGGTGTTCATAGGTTACGGTAATTGCTTATCATGAGGTGGGCCGTATGCTTGTTTGCCACCCTAGTAATATAAAAATCTACCACTAGAAACTTTGTACTTACTTCATATTTTGATTCGAAATTTCGTAAATACATTCTTGTCATCCAAATCGAAATTTTTATAAGAATATTTATTTATTAATATTATTGAATGATTAACATTTTAGCTCACTATTATTTTAAATCAATTAAAAATATTGAAGAATTATTGTTATGACTTTTCCCCCCTTTTTAGTCTCATTGTTTTTTAATTATTACTCGCCATTCTAAGGTTGACTGCAAGAGATTGCTACTTAGCGATAAGGCTGCCCATTATTGCCTTTATCTTGCTTTTATATAATGAAGTTTATGTCATTTGTTTGTGTACATATTGTTAGTCTTTATAATCTGTCTCATTCTTTGAAGGGAACAATAGTTTTCATTCGCTCATTCAATTATTAGTTGTCTTTAAAAATTGACAGATAATTGCGACTTTCTTTTATATACAACTTAGAATGGCAAACAAGCTGACGGTCCACCTGATGGAAAGTGGTAACCGTCGCCTATAGACATGAGCAGTACCATGGACATAACATAGTATACTGTTTCGCCCATGATACACCCCATGTGTTGCCATTTCTGAGTACTCAGGTGTTATTCCTCTGTACCTAGTAAATTCATACCATATCCCACCCTTCAAACTGAAACACAGCCATGCAAACACAACTGTTTCACGGTTGAAACACGAATGGGACAGAGGTACCCAAGCAATCCATTTTTGTATAAAGTCTCGCCTAACTTAATTATGAACGCTCTTAACTGTTTTTTTTTTTTTTTATCAAAAAGCCATAATTCTTCTTTAGTCAACATATTGTAAAGGGGGACACCACAGACATGCGTAATATAAATCTATTCTAAGCACGCAACATTAGTAAATTCGTTAGTACCAACACGAGTATGACGAAATGGAGTAGGGATTATTCATCCAATTAGAAATAGGGTGGATAAATGTAAATGACAATATTTTTTTGTTTGTTTATAACACTTTATTGTACAGAAAAAATGAGTACAATGGCGGATTTATCCCATAAAAAAATTCTTTGATTTGACTTGATAATTGTTTGAGATTTGTTTTTCTTTTTTTATTATTCTATAATCATAATAATCTCTAAGATAAATTTTGTATCCTTATTTATGTAAGCAGTAAATTACATTTGCATGCCTACAATTTTAAGGCAATTAAACAGATGCCAAAAAGTCAAAGTTATAATGTCAAATGTCTGTTTAAAGCAAATAAATAGTTCATTTCATTTCATTTCATATCTTATAGTCAACCTTTCAATGTCTGATAGAAATTGCGAATTGGTAGAGACAAATGACTAAAAAAAAATAATAGGCAATAAAAAAATCGTAATTAAATAAATAATAAATAAAATTTATTATTATATTATTATTATAGTATTGTTACAAAATAATGGATCATTGACTAGAGATATTATTTGAACATAGAACTAATATTACAATGTCATTTTAAAAATAATGGTAGAGAAAGCTGTTCATTATGCGTACCAAAGTCATTTGGGTCTTTAATTAAAAACATTGTGCCCGCTATCCTTTCCTTGGGGCGAGTTAATCAACTAGTAGCAAAAACTCAGTATTGAGTCTTTTTGTTCTTCACAAACGATTATTGGGCTTGGATTTTTGGCTCTGATGTTTTCGCTTCGTTTAATTAAAACTGAAAATGTTTATTGGCGTTAAACTGTGACACTTCTTTGTTTTAACTTGAATAAAAATGTCTTGGACCATTCGTCTTTTTTATTATTTAAATAAAAGTTCGAAAAGGAACAGGGTCTATGATGAAAAGATGCCTTTTGTTCGTCTTCTCTAATGGTTGCGATTTTATTTTTAGGCAGTCTATTGTCATAAAATGTGGAAATTAATTACAGACTTTTGATTTCTTTTTCAACTACCGAATACTTTTATACTCAGTGCGTCTTTTAACCGATCATATGTCTGAAGAATTTAAAATAATTTAGAATTTTTTTTTATTATAATACAACTTAGAATAGCAATCAAGCTGACGGTCCACCTGATAGAAAGTGGTAACCGTCGCCTATAGACATGAGCAGTACCATGGACATAACAGAGTATACTGTTTCGCTCATGATACCTCCCATACGTTGCTATTCCTGAGGACTCAGGTGTTATTCTTCTGTACCCAGTAAATTCACGCCATATCCCACCCTTCAAACCGAAACACAGCCATGCAAACACAGCTGCTTTACGGTTGAAACACGAATGGGACAGAGGTACTCAAGCCATCGACTTTTGTACAAAGTCTCCCTTTGGTAATAAAACGGTTTTTTTTTGTTTATAATTAATAACTGATTATTTGATTAGAATTATTTTGTTTAATTCCGCTACCATTAGTATGTGTGTGACTGCCAACACTCAAAGACTGATAACTATTACTACCTACTATAATATCAACAACCTTCCATATAAGCCATCAATCTCCGATTGCCATTTTGTTCACACACGTTTTGCGACACCTCTAAATGAGACATCATCAGGCAAATTATTAGATCACTGCTCGGAGCCTAGCGTTAACCGTTCTCTACCAAAACTGCAAA